ATTTTCAGCAGATAAAGCTGTTTCGAAGGGACGCACGGGCACGCTGTGGGCTACCTGCATGCAGAGCCAGTGGGGACGGGAAGAAATGAGCTCTTTCCCCTCCCTATGTCAGGATTTTTAGGGATCTAAAAGGCAAGTGGTGTCCTTTAGGTGATGCTGAGTGAGTGAGGTGTCCTGTGTGACGCTAAGGTGGCACATGCCTGGTGGGATGATCCAGTGCCATCCCTGGAATGCTGCGGCTCTGCCTGTGCTGATGTTGGGGTGTGCAGGGGGTGTGCACATGTGTGCCCACTTGCCTGTACGTGTGATGCCCGGCGGCACCAGATACTTTCTCCTTTGGTGTGTTATAAAATGAGGGGGTTTTTTCCCCCACAGGTGATTTTGAAGCATCACCAACTTCCCTAGGACCTGCAGCCCAGGGGGGTTCATCGGCATGGGCAGCCATCAGCTCCATGCTTCCCCCCCCTAGACTGGGAATCCTGATCCAGATGGCCTGATCCTGGCTGACGTGCTCTGCCCCGCTTCATCCCTTTCACTGCTTCACTTTTCCTTCCTAAGCTCCTCCACGGTGGTGTTCGCATGGGGGCCCAATCCTGGCAGGCCCTATGTGGCATGGAAATGGTTAATCCCAGGCCGATGCTGAACAGCTGAAAACTGGGCCCAGTTACATCCAGTTGGAGGGATATAAGGAGCAGCTGGGAGGAGGCTGGGGTTGGGTTTGGGATGCAGCTGGTGCCTGGTTTGATCCTGCAAATCTGGGAGGTGCTGAGCCTGAGCAGGTCTGGCTGGGGCTGCTGTGAGCCCCCATGCTGATGCCAGGGGCATCGCCCTGAAAGTGGCCCTGCCGGGTACAGCCCTGCATGCCAGGAGCTCAGCGCCCAGCTCGGGCCCATGCCCCACAGCATGGATGGCATCAAGGCGATGATGGAGTGTCAAGGATGCAGAGGATGGAGCCAGGGTGGGAGCTGTGGGTTCCCTTAAGCCTGGCCCAAAGGCAGAGCATTCCCCCAGGATTTGGGGTCTCTGGGCAGCTGTGATTTGGGGTACCTCCAGCTCTGTGGAGAGGGTGCAGCTGGCAGCCTGTGCCCTGACTCGGTTTCCCTGCAGTGAGCCAGCCTGGGCTCTGCAAATGCCAAGCCTCCCCATCCTTCCCCCCAAAAACCAGGCACCCAGACCTGCTGTGGCACCAGTGGGCTGAGCCGGCTTTGGGAGGGACCCCAGCCCTGCGCTCCCGTCCTCGTTCCTTGATTGACTGTCCCCATCCATCTGCCTGTCTCTTCCCTTCAGCTGTTCAGCTAATCTGTCTCCATCCATCTAATTTTATCCAGCCGCCAAATGATCTCTTGGAGGAGCCCTGGGGGCATTTGCAACCTGCCTACGCTCCGTGGCAGCCACCGTGGGGCTGCCTGCGCACCCGTCCAGGGTGAAACTGAGCCCGGGGGCCACGGAAAGGGCTCGGCAGGAGGGGTGTGACACGGATGCTGTTTTGGAGGGTCCCACACCCAAAGTGATGGGTTTGCATGGGCTGGGAAAAACAGCTCATTCCGTACAACACTGGGCTGGGTTTGATCTTCCCAGCACCCAGTCCACCTCCCCCAAGCTGAGTGCTCAGAGGTTTGAGCTTTCTGACCCATCTTGTCTTCTGACCTTGATAAAAGCGAGCACTTAATAACATTAAAAATGTCATCGTCGGGGGCCCTCCCTCCCCAGCCCTCTTATCCTCTGCGGCTGTCAGTGGTTAATGCATTTGTCGGTATCATCAGTATTAAACTAATCAACAGGACACAGGGGTTTCCGAAAGCCGGACACAAACCAGTATTGTTATGAATATTAAAAAAGCAAGCTATTAATCTCCCCTTGGAGCTCTTACCGAGTCCTTCCCTCCCCCCCGGCCAGGAGATTTAATCTGCAGGGTCTCATGGCAGAGTGGCTAAATCTATAGTGGTATTATATAATGGAGTGGAGGAGAGGGGCTGGGAAGGGCACGGAGGGGACAGAGATGGGGATGGAGCTGCGCTGCAGGGCTGGCTGGCACGCCCAGGGAGATGCTCGGGAGGGCCGAGCCTTGCTGCCGTCAGGGGATAAATCAGTGTCAGGGTGTGGTAGAAACTTCAAAGGGAGGTGCAGATTGCTGGGAGGCCCCAAAGCAAATCCTCTTGGCAGGATGGAAAATGACAGAGGTGGGGGCTGAGCTGGGTGGGAGATGGGTCTCCCTTGGGGTCTGGGGTGAGCGATGGGTGCTGGGGAGCCCCCACACCCGGGTCTGCATCCTCCTGCACCAGGAGGGGATGCTGCTGATGGGGTCTGCACCAGCCCCTCTCCCCGCACCCAAACGGGGCATCAGGAGACTGAAACCTGCTGTGACACCAGACTGGCAAAAATACTCCTTGCAGCAATAAGTAATGGTGGCGGGACCCCTGTGCGGTGACGAACAGCAGAGATTCCTCTGCTTAGCAGGGAGCTCGCCGGTTTGAAGCAGCAGCAGAGGGGAAAAACCACGAGGGTCAGGAGACTAAGGGTACCCACAGACAATGTGGCCGCAAGAAGGATGCCTCCAAGCCCAGCAGGATGTTCTGGGGTGCAGGTGGAAGGCTGCTCCAATCCCCAGGAGCCAAAAGGGTCCTGGATCAATACAGGGGGCTGGCAAAATGCAGCTTAACCTCTGCTGCAAGTGAAGTGAGTGGCCGCATCCAGGGCCATGGTCCTTCCCTTGCTAAATCCCTGCCAGCCACAGGAATTAGTCCAGCTTAGCGCAGGGCTGTGCGGCCAAAGCTGCAGCGCTGACAGTGTTTCCCGGGGCTGTCCGGCCATCCCGAGGGCCCTGTCCCCATGGCACATGGTGCCACCTCCCACTGGGGATGCAGCAGCTGTCAAGGATGGGGATGGAGGGTTTGGGATGGGAACTGGGGGCTCTGCCAGGGCAGGGATTTCAGGAAAAAGCCTCCTGGGAAGCATCCCTGGGGGTGCTGGGGATACTGTGGGCCTGTTCGTCCGTTCGTGGGATGTCTGATCCAAGCACAAAGCATCCAAGGAGCTGCAGAGGATGGAAAATGTGTCTCTTCCAGCTTTGTGCCCCGATCGTGCCATCCCCAGGGCAGAGGCAAGGCACTGGGGTGGCCAGAGCTGCGGCATAGCTATGTCAATGATGGCAGAATCAGCCCCACAGTGCAGGATCTCTGGGACCAGAGCATTTGTCATCGCAAGGCGGGATGTTTATAAGTCCCCATCTGGAGTCGGGCCATGGTGTCTGTCCCTTTCCCGAGGTCGCAGCCCGGCTCTGCAGAGCCTGACCCTTAAAGGAACGCAAAGCAAACCACCCCAGCTTGGCTTAAAACCCACGTTTTTGTACAAGCAAAGAGCTCAAGTTGGGGTTGGGATTTTGTCAGCTGGCTCTGCCTCCCTGCTCCTCTGCCACCCGGGAGGTCCCCTCTGTCCCGCTGCGTCCACCCCACGGGGCAGCAGCAGAGCCTCCCTGGAGCGAGTGGCACTGGCCCCCAGCCCCGATGGTGCCAGGCTCTGGCAGCTCCTGGCGGAATTTGCCCTCCTGCTTCCAGCGAGCCTGTCGGCATGTTGCATGTTGCTATTTATAAAGCTGTACAGAGAAACTTTGGCCGGATCGATCCCCACCTGCCTTAGCCAGGGCTTCCTGGCAGCAGCTGCTGGAGAGGTGATTGCTGTGCCACGGATGTGCCCCGGGCTGGGGGCAGAGGGGACTCATCACATGAGTCCCCCTGTCCCCCCCAGGTGCAGTGACACCCCACAACCTGTGCCTGCCTGGCTGCCAGCCCCGCAAGCAGCTGCCTGCTCAGGCACCCCATGGGGAGCTGCAGGGGGACATCCTGGGTGCCACTGGGTGCCCCAATTGCTCTGTGACCTCCCCCTCCTCCTGGAGGCCCCAGGAGAAATCCCAGCTTAGAGCACCAGTGTAACGAGTTTGCCAGGCTGATCTGGTCCTGATCCCCAGCCCCAGGGGACCGGCACACACTGCTCCTGCTGGAGGGGACCAGCCGTGGGCTCTGCCCGGGGAGGGGACAGGGATGGAGGGGCTGGGGCTGCAGGCAGCGGCTGCCCCACCAGCTGCTCCAGCTGTCTCGGCCCTGCATCTCCCCTTTCATATTCATAAGCATCATATTCATAAGCATCATATTCATGCACATTAACGGCAAAGTGCTCACTGGGCACTGTCAGCTGCTGCCGCTCGCTCAGGCCATGCCAGCGCCGCGGTGCCCAGCACCTGTGGCCACCGGCCCCGCTCTGGGGTCCCTGGGGACTCTTGCCAGGGCTTCACTGAAAAGCACATCACCCTCAGGGGGAAAAAAATCCAACCTTGGATGCAGGTCAGCCCCGCCAGCCCCTCGGTGCTGTCCCCAGGGATGCTGGAGGGGGCTCAGCTCAGCCCTGGACACTGTGGGGAGTGTGTCCCCGGGGCTGGTGGCTGCTCCTCGCCCTGGTGGGAGCTGATCCCCTAATGACCCCCTGGCTGGGGCAGCCCCAGCTGTGCAGCGTCTTGTAAGGAAATTAACTTTTCACTGATCTCCTGGCTTTGAGCAGGGGATTACAGCCCACACACACCACAACCAGGCTCTCCCTTCTTTCCGAGGCCTTTTTGGGGCTGCCATGACAGGGAGGGACAACTGCCCTTGCTGGGCCAGTCCCATCTTCCCCCAACTGGACTTGGTTCTTGGCTCCATTTTGGCTGTACGGAGCTGGGCTCACTGTCGGCACCCATGGCTCCTTTTATAATTAGCTAATGATGGCATGGGTGTCCGGGTGAGGACCAAGCAGCAGAGCTGTCCCCAGGGACATGCATCACCCTGTTACACAGAATCTTGCCTGTGCATGGGCAGAGCCACCTGCCCGGACACCCATGGGCACCCCGCTTCCCACCTACTTATCCATCCCACCCTGGCCCTGCCGGAGGGTCTCTGACAGCAGATTTGGGGTATAATATTGTCTCTGGCAACCAGAAAAGTGAGGAAACAACCCCGTGAGCTGCAGAGCCAGGAGTACCGCAGTAATAAACAGCAGGTCGAGGCTGGAGATTGGTGCTGCCAGTATGAAAAGGAGGACAGGCAGGTTCAGAGCCTCTGCCGGCTAATTAAGCAGCAGCTCCCTATAATGCAAAGGCCTTTTCTTTGCCGATAAGACCCATTTATAATGGGCTGAGCGGTCACAGGCTGAGTGCTGGGGGGAAACAATTGGAAAGCATATTGCTGGTGGGGCTGGGTTTTAAAAATAGACATGAAGGGCTTGCTTCTGGGCTTTCCCCCCCCCATTTTTTTTTAATAAAAAAGAGAAGAAAGCAGCTCAGAGCTGTGCTGAGAGTTTCCCGTGGCCTAGAGGAAGAGCAGGGCTCCGAGGAGAGCACCGAGCATCCCTCAAACCCAGCGGGAATTCTTCAAAGCAGGGAGGATGGCATTGGATCGGGCTTCCAGCCGAGCAGTCCCCGGGAAACTGTCCCAAGGGAGGGGAACAGGGCTGCACACACTGTCTTTGCCATGGCCACGCGTTGGTGTTGGGATGGAAGCAGGGGGGACAGCATGTGCTTGCTCCTCCTTGTGCCTCCCAGGCTGCGCTGGGCTCCAGCCAGCCCCCTGCAAACCGCAGCAGCCGAGGGGGGACTCGCAGCCCAGCCCTGGCACCGCTCCCTGGCCTCGCTTCACCCAGGACTGGCCCCACAGGGAAGAGCCTCGACTGGGTCCCTCAGTGAGGACGGGAGGAAAATCATATGGGAAACACGGCTGGGGAGGGGGCTCAT